ACCAAAGCCAACCCCTTCCCATGGGTCGCTGACCCATTCCCAGCACCCAACATCTCTCCTCCTGCTACCGATCACTTCTTTCCCTGCTGCTCTCAAACACATTCAAGTCTCTCCTATCCTTAAAGAGCCTTTGGTAGACCCAGCGTCCCCCTTAAGCTATTGTCTTACCCCTCTCCTCGGCCAAGCCCCTGGGACAAGCTGTCTACACTCACCGGCCTCACTTGCTCTCAGCTCTTTGCAATCTGGTTTCTAATCTCAACACTCACCTGAATCTGCCCAATCTGTGGCCTGTTCTGTCCTCTTCCTCACAGTCCTGTCAGACTGTCAGACATAGTTGACCAGCCTCTTTCTCTTCTCTGTGCTTTCCCAACACCCCTCTCTCCTGGCTCTCTCCTAACTCGGGGGCTCCCCAAGGTTCTGCCCTCAGCCCTCTCCTCTTCTCGGGAATCTCACTGGCTCATGGGTTTAACAATCGTCTTTATACAGATCACTCACACATCTGTCTCTCCCTCTCTTCCCTGAACTTCAGTCCTGAATTGCCTACTACATCTTCCAAACTGGATGCCCCTGAGACATCTCAAACTCAGCATGTCTAAAACAGAATTCGTCTTTCTGGTCAAACTCGTCCCTCGTCCACATTTCCTCATTTCTGCTAATGGCCCTGCCATTATTCTGGCCTCCTGAGTGTTTCACTTCAGCATCACCTGTGACTCCTCACTCTTCTCCAACCCCCATATCCAATCAAAATCCAACTTTTTCAGCTTCTAACCTCACAGCACTTTCTAGCACCCTATCCCTTCTGCCCCTTCACCCAGCTCCCACCTTCCTTTGGCCCTCATCACCATTGAAATCATTCGAGCAGCTTCCTGATTGGCCTCCCTCCTGTCCACCTACCACACTGCTACCAGTCACTTTCACAAGCTCAGATCTCACCATGGGTCTGCTCAACTACCCCGAGCAGCTCCCCCCTGGCCTCTGGGATGAAATTCAAGTGTCTTTCTTTAGCTTTTAGAGCCTTTCCCCACAGTATCATGGGTCACTGTTCCCCCCGCCCTCTAGGATCCAGCCAAATGGGCCGCCTCTTTTCTCCTAAGGTGTAGACCAAGCATTGTCTTCTGTATGAAGCCCAGCTTCTCCCTCCCTCCCTCCTAAGCGACCTTGTATTTAGCTAGTTTGTATATATTTGTGCTTATTCACTTGTATGTGTGTCCTGTTGTCTTCCTCATTGGTCTTAGCTCCGTGCAAGAAGGGACTCTTTCCTTCCTTGGCTTGTATCCTGACACAGTGCCTGGAATAATCAGTAATCCTCCTTAACTGATTGTCAGCTGATGAGTTTGACCAGAGCTGCTGAGGTTCCTTCCCTGGCTCTCCAACTCTCAGCCTGTGGATGTCCTGTCTAGAAGGCTCCTCAGCCCCAGGGGATCACACCCAGACTGGCTAGTCCAGCCTGACCACCACTAAGGGAGGTCTGCTAAAGAGGCTACTCCCACACTTCTAGAGTGAAAGCTGAACAAGAGCGATCCTATTCCTTTGTCCCCCAGTGCCGTGCACAGGTCAGGGCCACACCTGAGAGATCGCCTCCGCAGTGTCCCATCCAGGTTCTCCTTAACGTCCAGTGTGCTCCCGGCATGAGGGACCCCGACGGTCTTCATATGGGGGGAAAGCCGGGAGTCCAACCGGAGGTGATCCAGGTGCTGGGAGACAGGGTCATGCTCAATCAAGAGCTGAAGGGTCTGGCTCGTCTTGCCAATCATGTCCTCCACCTGGAGGTGAAAGCAAGGTGAGCTGGCTGGCTTTCCAGAGGATTCCCTCTCCTCGTCTATTCTCTTTCTCCTCCCTCTCTAGCTGAGCAGGCTACAGGGAGGTGACCCTCTGACCGCTGACCATTCTTCTCTTGTGGATGGCTTCAGTTCTCAGAGGGGGCTCATGGCTGGGTCTCATAGCAGCTGACCCTGCACTGTCTAAACAAGCTTACTAGAGGCCCCTCCTTCTCTGTACTTTGATTAGTCAGGTGGATGTGGGAAATCATAAGTCTCAAGAGGAGAATCATAGGACATTAGAGCTGGGAGAGACTTTAGACATCATCTAGTTCTCCATTTTACAAGTCAGGAAACTGAGGCCTGTAGAGGGAAAGTGACTTACCCAACGTCACAAGTCTCTAAACCCCCATGTTAAGGGTCTACACTCCACCATGCTGCCTCCCCTCCCTTCCTCACTCCACCCCACCCCATCCCCATCTCATTACCAAGTCCAGAAAGGGGAAGAAGGACGGACCAGGGAGACAGAGGGAAGCTCTAGGATCTGGGCCTACTCCCTAGCAAGAAGTCAGCCATCATTTTCTAGACACAGCGGAAGGCTCCAGAATGCATACATACCTCCTCTACCCGCAGGGTTCGGACAGGGGTCCCATTGATTTCCAGAATCCGATCCCCAGGGTGGATGGCATTTCGGACGTTGGGGCTGATGTGCATTCGGCTGACCCTGAACAGAGACAGAAACGCAATGGGAGAAGAGGGCAGGGCGAAGGAGCCATCAGGCTGATTCATGTAGATGCCATGAATGTTGATTCAGGACAGGCTTCCTTTGTGCAGGGTCAGAGATGCCTGGGCATTTCTTCCCTCCTCTCTCGGGACAGCACAGCCTGCCCTGTATGATGGCATGACCCAACACTTCAGGCCTCAGGCCCCATTCTGCTTTTTCCAAGTCTGAGACCTAAGGCTGGCTGACAGACAGCAAGGGAAGGCAAGAAGTCCTGGGGCCCAGGAAGGGCAGCTGTGGGGAGGGATTCCCCATCAGGCAGGTACTGGGGAACTGCCCAGGCTCTGAAAACCTCCAGGCCCACCTCTGGGGAGTCTTGGATACTTACTCATTCACTTGTACGGTGGTGGCATAGTCAGAGCAGGCACTTTCGATGGACACAGAGAAGCCTCTCTTGCCCTCAGTTGTGGCTGGCATGGAGATGAGCGTGACGGAGTAAGGCAGCTGGTCATGGGCGGACTCCGTGGACAGCCTCTCAAACATGGGCGTAAGTACCACCTCATTGTAGCACTTGCCACTGCACAGAGAAGATAACCTGTGAGCAAGCCTCTTCTTCTCTTCACACAGGCCCTGCCAATCCCCATCCCCATCCCCATCACTCCTTTTCAGGGAAGGCCACAAGGCCCATGGGACACCCAGGCACTCTGCCACCTCTGGATTCAGGCCTCTGGGCAGAGGTGGACTTGACAGTAAGCTTGTTATGTTACAACCAAGTCATTTCATTTCTATGTTCTCAACTGATTCTTTAAATAATTCTGTGAGGTAGGCAGGTCATTTAAAAGAGGAGCAAGCGGGGTGTGGCTTACGCAGAGGTCGTCTCCCCCCCCCCACCCCAGATTCTCTGTGGAGTGCATATGACAAGTAGCACCAGCTGCCATCACTTTACCAGTACAGAGTGGAATGCTGAACCAGGGCATATGCATCTCCATCCTCAATGATCACCTTGCAGCTCATGCAGGCAAAGCATTCCGGGTGATACTTGTATTCTCCAGCTACCTGTGTGGGACGGAAGGAAGGGGGGAAGGGAGATGGGACAAGTCTCCTATTATCCAGGAGCCTTGATCATTCCAAATGTCCTAGGGCCAAGAGGGGCTTGCTCTAAGTCATGTGCTTAGCACGCTGACTTCTCAGGAGCAGGCCCAGCAGCAGAACAGGGCAGGACGTGCCTTGTTCAAGCACAGGGACGTCGCAAGACACTCCTGTTCACTCCACCAGCCTCACTGAAGGGTCTCTGGTCCAAACTGAGGGAAATACTCATATCCTTATATTGAGCCCAGTCTCAGTAGGAAGGGGTCTCCGAGGTCACTTAAGACATGTCCTGGATCAGACGCCTGCCTCTGGCCTCCCTGACAGGCCTCAGCAGCTCCCAACCGCCCATCCTGGAGAAGCCCAGCTCCTTGGCCGGGGATTCTTGCAGCTCAGGCCTCCACACCTCAGACTGTTCTCTGTGACTGGACCCTCCTCCTCTCACTTCAGAGGTGCCGAGCCTGCAGATGCAAAACTCCAGGTCCCTAGAACCAGATTAAAATGGGATTGGGAACTGTCTCACAACATAACACAGCACAGCTAATGCCAACCTGGGGTTTTCTAAGGTTTTCTATTTGCGTTTGACACCGTTGCCATACCTCCTGTCTTAAAAGGCACTTGCCAGGTCATGCTGTTGTTCATCAGTGTTGGCAGCTTACCCCCTACTAGATAATAAGCTTCTTGAGGTCAGGAATCATGTCTTAGCTAAACTATCCTCCAGGATCAGATTCAAGGTGTCCTAAAAGTCTCAGTGCAGTTTAAAAGCAACTAAAACTTAAAAGCCCATCCAAACACCTCTGGCTTCCCGTGTGCATTCATTGGCTATTACCCCCTTTTACGCCGCTCCCACTCCAAGCACGCCATCTCCCATCTCGCTGCCTTTGCACTGGCTGTCCCCAACACCTGGAATGCCCTCCCCCTCCTCACCTCTGCCTCAGGAGGTACTGCAAGCACCACCTTCTACACGGAACCTTTCCTGTTTTCTGACACCCACCCAATTACTGCTCTTTTGTCTCCCCCCTCCAAACCCTGGCCTTTTCCTGGTTTGAATTTACTGTGTGAGCGTGTATGTATGTGTGTGAACCTGTGTTCTTCCCTGTTAGGATGTAAGCTCCCTACGAAAGAGCTCGTCTCCTTGTCTGCATTCCCAGGGTCTCCCTCTGTATCCGGGGCCATCACCAGTCGCCCTGATCTATATCTGGCCACTGGACCCAGCTGGCTTGGAGGACAAAGTGAGGCTGGCGACTCTGCACAGCCCCGCCTCACTTAAATCCAATTCACTTGCATGTCCTGGTTTCACCTCCCTGATGTCATGGTCTTCCCGGAGAACCAAGGACAAAGTACAACAACAACTCAGGGTCTAGCACAGTCCCTGGCACACAGTAGGTGCTTAATAAAGGCAGTAGTTTTTTCCTTTATCTTCACCTGTCCCACAGAGCCCCTTCTAGAGTCTGTACTTGAGGGTAAGCCAACAGACCTGGCCTGCCTGGCCCCCACCACCAGACACTCTGACGAGCTTGCAGATTGACACCAAGACACCCTTTCCAGAGATGACATCAGAAAGGGCGGCTGCTTCTTTTCCCCTCTGCACCCTGACGCTGTCTCCACATTGCGGCTCATCGCCCCGACCCAATGAAGGAGACAACAGGCCGGCAGAGAGAGCCCTGGCATTACAGAAGCGAAGGATTTCAGTATAGGGAGGGAGGCCTCCCACCATCTTACAGAAAAAAACCAGGCCTCGAGCAGGGCAGAGAGCTGGGAGCAGCAGAGCCTGGGTCCCCAACTCATCATCCTGGACTTGTGGAAGCCTAGGCAGAGACTGAACGAACCTCTCCGGTCTCCACTTTCTCATTTGTAAAATAAAAGCACTTGACAAGATCAGTCAGATTACAACCTTTTTGGTGTCATGGACCCTTCTTAGAAGTCATATTTTTAAATATACAAAATAAACATCAAAGAATTGCAAAGCCAATCAATTCTACTAAAATACAATTGTCACAATATTAAAAGTTCCCGGAGCCAGGTGAAACCCTGGACCCTAGGGTGCTTTAAAGTTTCCAAAACATTTTATAAATATTGTCTCATTACAACAATGATGTGAGGTGGGAAGTAGAGGTATCGATTTCCATTTTACAGAAGAGCAAACTGAGGCTTAGAGGTGAAAGTCCCATGCTGACTCTAAATCCAACACTTTCCCTATCTACGCTATTACCTCTAAACCCATAACCCTAAGAGTTAGTAACCAGGACTTCCCTCATGGTGTATGACCCCCAGCTCCTCTTCCCTTCCCGAGCTCATTAGCAAAGGATTCCAGAAACTGCAGAACTGAAAGCCTCAATGAAGGCCAAGGGTCAAGCTTCACTCCCTTGCTGTATATAATCTATTCCCTATTCTCTGAACCACACCAAGGCCTTCCCTCCTCAGGGCCATGGTGCCACCGGGTGGCACTTCCCTAGAGAGGGGCAGTGGAGGGGAGGGGGGCCTGAGGCCCTGCAAACTGCTCAACCAGTACACTAGGCCAGAGCTGTAGCCAAGTGCTCCGGTGCTAATACTGGGGACCCGAACCCGGGTCATTATCCTGGCCAGGCCCCATAGAGCTACTTCTCCTTTCAAAACCCTGGCTTTGCAGGGTAGTCTGTTTCACGTTCCCGAGCTAGGAGCTCCCGCTCAGGCAGTGACTCCGGCCTGGAGAAGAAGGCAGTCCTATGCCATTAGGTGAAATCATGGAAGGCTGCTCTCTGACTCCTGGCAATAGGAAGCCCTGAGGGGGGTTCCTCTCCCAGGAAACTCCCTCGACCAGCGCCCACTAGCATTGGACAGTCTTAAAAGAGCTGCTTGGGGGGCAGCTGGGTGGCACAGTGGACAGAGCTCCAGCCTTGGAGTCAGAAGGACCTGAGTTCAAATCTGGCTTCAGACACTTGACACTTACTAGCTGTGTGACTCTAGGCAAGTCACTTAACCCCGACTGCCTCACCAAAAAGAAGCAAAAGTGTTGCTTGGGTCATTAAGAGGTGAGATGCCTTCCCTGCTTGTCCTGATTTAAAGCCCAACTGTCCTCTGTCCTCCATCCCAAGAGGCCTCTGCCTGGTCCCCCCCAGGGACGGCTGGCTCTGTCAGCTCTGGTCTGCCCTCTGGTACATCTGTGGAGGCTTCCCGCAAACCAGCAATGATTTCTGCCCTTGTCTTGGCCAGCTCAAAGCCTCTCCTTTCCCATCCAGGCCCAGCTCAGTTATCCCTGACCTTCCAGCTGAAGGCGACCTTGTCTTCCTCAAATTCGCTTAGCCCACACGGCTCCCTCCTTTGCCCCGATCACGTTTACCTGTGTCCCTGTCTTATCTTCCCCTAGAGTCTGAGCTCCTTGAGGTCAGGAACTGTCATCTCGCTGTTTTGGGGGTGAGGGTGGAGTTGGGATGAAAAGGACCTCAGGTCAAAGGGGGTCAGGGTTTTTACAGCTCTTTCTGGAAGCTTGCTCTGACTGCTCCCTCCTCATCTCCCCCCATTAATCTCCAAGCTCACTCTGTGACAGCCCTGGCTCCTTTATGCCACTCGGTTCTGGATCAGGGGCTACCCTTTGTCCTCAGGCCTTTTGGGAGCACCCTATAAGCCCCAGGCCCGTGTTTCCTCTGGCTGTTTGCCGAGTGGGAGAAGCCACAGGTGGTGGAAGAGAATGAGGAACACATAAGCAACTGGAGACACTCGTTCAACTTCTTACAGTCCAGGAAAAGACTAAGAGGAAAACTGAGTCCTTACCATGGCAGGCCCCGTCATGAGCAGTGAGCAGCCATGGCAGAATTCTCCAAACTTCCCCCAGTAATCCTTGTGGCAATAAAGCTTCCCATCCTTTTCATAGTACCAATTGGTAAGAGGATCTTGACATTCTGAACACCTGAAAGAAAAGAAGCACAAGTACTGAGGACCCTGTGGAGGCCCGCGCTCCCGGTGCAGGGGTCCGTGTGGTTACCCACATTTTCTCCCCACGCCCTGCGAGGCTCCCATTTTACAGAAGAGGCTACACAGGCAATACGAGCAGTGCCCAGCACATCGCCGCATCTGCTGACTGACTGACCAGTAGAAGCCGGGGCTCTGAATCCACTCCTGGGTTTTCTGTCTCCACGTCCAGCATCGCTGGCGGAAAGACCAACTACGTTCTCTCCAACTCAAAGCTAAGAAAGCCAAGAGAAAGAGGTTGTGGTTTAACAACTCCTCCTCAAAGGAGCCAGTGACTAGCCCTGAACGGAGGAGGCCACAGGCTCTGTTACAGCGGGCATTCAGCTCAGATAGCGCTAATTCCCAAGGCACCGCACGTTGCACCATTCCAACACTGGCCTGAATACCAATCTCTGCTCACATTCCGCTCGGTGCCTCAGACCCACTTTGTCCCTTCACCCCCACACTTGGCGCTCTTGCACATAGTAGGATACTCATGTATGCATCCAGCCACCCAGCACGGACCCGTCAGTAATCCAAGACTGTGCAGCATCCTGGAGGGAAGCGCCGGCTGCACTGGACTCTACAGGGAGGACTCTGGCCCCCAGAAGGAGTCTCTCTTGACCCTAGGCTGATCCTTGGACCACACAAGTTGGAGACCACACTCAAGACCTTTCCAGAGACTCAACCATGCCAGTATCACCCCCATGCCAATGAAGAGGCACTGGATTAAAGCTCTAGTGAAGGACTTGAGCGAGCATAGAGATATCGAGACAGAGGCAGAGACATCTGCAGATATTCTCTGACAGTGGGGGTGGGGGCAGGGGGTCACAGACCCCTTTGGGGATCTGAGGAAGCCTATGGACCCCTTCTTGCAACATTTTAAATGCAAGGATTACAGGATTACAAAGGAGACCAATTATATTAAAATGCAGTCATTGAAAGACTGAAAAAATAAATCCATGGGCTCCCTGTGTCATCTTCCCTCCCTCTTTTTGAAGCTGCCCCTTATCCTCTCCTTGAAGCCTAAACGCACACAGCTTCCTTTGGAGGCCTATGCAGTCTCCTCCAACGGTGGGCACTTCAAAAGCTTTCGCACTCTGAGCACGGGATCCCTTCAGAGGTCATCTCCTGGAAGAGGCTCTTCCTGATCTCCCAGTCTGGGTTTTCCCCCCTCCTCACCCCTCAAAATACCCTGTATCTGTTATATTTTATATTTATTTTTGTGGGCATACACTGTTTACCCCAAGGAGAACGTGCTCTCCTTAAAGGGAGAGACAATTGCTTTTTTGTCTTTGGCTCTCCAAAGTCAAACATGGCGCTGAGAACATAGTGGGTGCTTGCTGAATTGAACTCACTTGATTTTGGTCATGTCAGAGTCTTCCACTCCAGCCGAGTTGTCATGAAATCTCAGAATGGAAAGGACGGCTGGATGTACTCACCTGCTCACTCCCTGGCTGGCAGGTCCTCAGCACTTTGAGGTTTGCAGAGCACTAGAAATATGATCTCATTCGATCCTCTCAACAACAGCCCCGAGAGGGAGGTGCTGTTACTCTCCCCATTTTACAGATGAGGTAAGCTGAGGCAGATAGCAGTGAGCTGTCTTGTCCAGGCTCACACAGCTAAGAAGTATCTGAGGTTGGATTTGAACTCAGGTCTTCATGACTTTAGGTGTACTGTTCTATCCACTTTATCACCTGTGACTTGTGACCGACCCCTCCCCCCAGGTGGTCATCCAAACTGGAGAGATAGATAGACGGATACACAGATAGACAGCCAGATCTCTGACAGCCCTCATACTGGAGAGTTTCCCTTCACGTTGCCTCATATTCCTTTACTTGGAATCTCCTTTAATTACCACCTGTAACTCTTAGGAGTAATACGGATAAAACCAGAACAGTCACAATGAGTGCTCAGGACTCTGCAAGCCTTTGTGTATTTTGGGTTTTTTTTTCTGGCTAGGCAATGGGGTTAAGTGACTTGCCCAGGGTCACACAGCTAGTAAGTATTAATGTGTCTGAGGCCAGATTTGAACTCAGGTCCTCCTGAATCCAGGGCCGGTGCTCTATTCACTATGGCACCTAACTGCCCCTTGGCAAGCCTTTGTAAAGCACCTTTGAGCTCCCAAGTGCAACGGACTGCCTCGGGAGGTAGTGCATTCCCTCTCCCGGACGCTTGGAGGAAAAGCTGGAGGAGCACTGGTCACAAATGTTACAGGAGAAATTTCCACTCAGCTGTGGGCTGGGCATGATAGGATTCTAGAATATCACTGTGTACATGATCCTAGGCAAAGTGCTCCGAGTGGACAGAGCTCCAGGGTTGTGGTTCATGTACTCTGGGATCTTACGGTCTAGCTGGGGAGAGAAAAATATCCCTGAACCAGTTATGTCCCAATGAAAGGCGGCATGCCAAAAGCAAGCGATGCCTAACTCTCTAGCCTTATGTCCCACGATGCCCCTCCATAACCCCCTTGATACCATTTTCCACTGGAATAAACTTCCTCTTCACCTATCCAAAATGTTATTCACCGTTCAAGGCTCAAACCCAACTCCTTCAAGACACTTTCCCTGACCTGCGCCCCCCGCCAAGTCCTGGAGTTCTTATTGTACATTGTATATTATAGTGGGAAGACCTAGGTTCAAAACTCAAATAGGTAACCATGGGCAAATCACTTGACCACAGCTTCCTCTTCTGTAAAATGGCTTCTAAGATCCCTTTCCAACTTTCAGTCTCATGCAACCCTCTCATTTTCAGGAGACAGCATCCACGTGACATGCTCATTAATTACTGTACCCAGGCCAGAGGCCTGGGACCTGTCCCACCCTCCCAGTGGTATGTGTACAGGAAAGCTGGAGGGCAAGGGGAGAATGAGAACGCGTCCTACCCTTCACTGCCAATATCCTGCTTTTGTTTGTAGTAAACGTCCCTGGTTGGGTGATCCGGAGGCGGGAGGG